TGAGATGCATTCTCCAGAACTGGACCACTTTCAGTTATATTACAGCTAAGTTAACTTGTAAGTGAGCTCTATTTTTTTTTTTTTTTTGCAGTACGCGGGCCTCTCACTGTTGTGGCCTCTCCCGTTGCGGAGCACAGGCTCCGGACGCGCAGCCTCAGCGGCCATGGCTCATGGGCCCAGCTGTTCCGCGGCATGTGGGATCTTCCCGGACTGGGGCACGAACCCGTGTCCCCTGCATCGGCAGGCGGACTCTCAACCACTGCGCCACCAGGGAAGCCCCCTAAGTGAGCTCTATTTAATTGACTCAAAAGTAAGTGCTTACAAATGAAATACTTTTTAATATTTAGAAAGTTGGCCAAAATGAATTTCAGGTCCTCATGACCTGGGAAATGTTCAGTACTGAATTGATATCTGGCACTGAAGCTAGCTTAAGCTTGTTAAGTATAATACTTCTGTTGTACCTAGGTTATTTAGAGATCAAATAAGACCTTATATCTGTTGCAAATTTGTCAGCAAGAAAAATAACTTGATATAATGAAACCTTAAGTCTATCTAAAATAGCCTCTCCAAACTGGTAACTTGAAACTGAACTAAGTTAAATGGCAAGAATTCATTGACCATCTAGGTCATTTCAAATAGGATAAAATATTGGAACACTGGTTGCTGGGCAAATCTAAGTTTACCTACCTTTGCCTTCTTAGGAGAGGAAAACCAAAGCATAAGTTTCCAATCAGAAAATGCTGGTATGACAAACAGTTCACAATTACTTGCCTCTTAGTTTTCACTAAAAATTAAGGTACTTAAGAGTTGAGGATTCTAATCTAAATATGTAATTAAAGCTACTAAAATATTTTTAAAAACATTTCAGTTTACAGTAGGAAAGTAGGATATATGTTTTGAGTAAAAAAGGACTTTTATGCACGGTCAGGCTGAGATTAGATTAAATTTAGGTAAATGGATTTTGTTATCAATATTAAAAGTAAGCTGGTGCGAGACTAGATTTGGTTCCTCTCTGCTAAGAGAACAAGTTTACCTAGAATGCTGCTTTTGATAACAGGTTATATAAACTTCCTTCCTTTAAGTGATCTGTATTTGTTCTCTTCTCTTCTCACTGTGGATAAGAAACAAGTATTGTCTTACAGTGACTGATGATCTTATTTGACCAAGTGTTTTGAAACTTTTTGGCAAACTTCCCAAATATCAAATTTTAATTAAAGTTCTTTTGACCTCCAGCTAACTTTGGGATTTGTTAGGGGGCCCCTAAGGCATCTCAAGGAGGAATATTTAACTAGTATTATTTGGTACATTGAATTACATGGGAAGCATTGTCAAAGGAGTAATAAGCCTTCCTTTATTATACTGTACAGATAAATGTTACTACTATAGATATTCTAGAAATTATATAAAGTTTCTGAAATGTAGATATGTCCTGGTATAATCTATCAGCCATAACTCTGGTCATATCATAGCAAATTGATTCAGTTTTGTCAACACATTGTGATCAGATTTTTAACCTTGCCTTTTTAAGTCTTTAATAGACAGTTAAGCTGATGCTTTGCAAAAGTGCTTCATCTTCAAGAAGATTCATAGGGAGGACTTTTTTGATAAGTGCAGGTCTCTAATAAAGTTCAGATTATACCACTGAACTGGGTAAGAAATTTAAAATTCTAATGGAAGACCTGATGGCTTCATAAAAAGATAACAAAAGGATTGGTTACTGAGTAAACTGGTATATATGGTTATAATGGTTATGCATTTTGTCTGGAATATTACTGATTTTGATCTGTGTTCTCTAGATATAGGGAAGCCCTTCCCCTCAAGTTACTCGTGACTTAAAGCAATTTGGTAAATTATACTTCTATGAGTCTGGCTTTGTGGCAACAAGTCTCCCCCAGCATGCCAGGTCCATACTGGTTTTCAGGCTTATTCTCCTGAATTCCTCAGGGAATGAGATCTTTCTTATACAAGACTTGGATCCAGGACTTGGAACTTGGGATTATTTCCAACTCGGTATCCATGCCCCAAATCAAGGTAGGACTGTGTCCCATTTTAGCAGGAAGTAGCTAGAGTGGTCATCACCTCATTCCCTGAAAGACTTGGGGAAGGATGAAACAGAATTGGAGGTTGAAACCAAGTCCCCCTAAAACTGAGTTCCTCTGCCAAGTTCATGATTAACCACTCTATCCAAAACATACCTACATGTTCTCCTCAAGATTGAGGAATATCAAAGAAAAGGGGGGAATTGTAATAGAGCAGGGCGTGCAGCCATTGGCAGGCGGCAGTTACCAGGCAACCATTACTGCAAGACCACTAGCATGGTGGTTAGGGGGCCCATTAGGCCAACCCTCGGGTGTGGTGGTCACCAGGCAGAGAGTTAGGTAAGAGGCGGATCCTGGCCTTCTCCCCCTGGGCCCTACAGCTCACCTGGCCTCAGGCTGGCAGGTGAGCTGGGAGGCCCAGGGAACAGGCAGGGGGCTGTGTCCTGCAGGGTTCCATAGGCCTCACCAAGGTCATCCGCTGGCCGGTCCCAGGCCCTGAGGTAGTGATGAACCTCTCCCCCATCCCCACCTCTGCAACCTAATGGCAGTGGCAGTCTGCATGGGTTGCGGTCCATTGGACCTGGCTCCCTACCCCCCATTTAGGCAGCCTGAGGCACCTGAGGACCAATTGGGTCCTGGGCACCTGGCTCCCTCAGTGATGATGGCTGGGCAGGGACTGGGGACCTGGCCCTGAGGGCACTGCCAGCTGAGATCTGCCTATTTAGCTGGGCCTGGGTACTGGCGGGAGGACCCAGACTGGGTGCTAGACGAACGCTCCTGGGCAGGGAAACTGGCCCCCGCAGGGATCCCCTCCCCTTAGCCAGGACCTGGACCTCGGAGGGTGAAAGGTGAAAGTTATGCCTTGGGACCTTGCCCTTTCTTGTCAGAACAGAGAATAACATTTGTTTGGTGGAGATTTACAGGAACACCATCACTTGACCATGACCTGACCTCAAGAACAAAGGATCTGACACCAAGAAGTTTGCAACAACTAACCACGCCCCTCCCTCACCTTTCCTATAAAGGGGCTGTGCTGAAAGCGTTCAAGGAGTTTGGGTTTTTTAAGGCATGATCCACCCGTCTCCTTGCATGGCCCTGCAATAAACCATTCTCTGCTCCAAGCTCCGACATTTTGGTATTGTTTGGCCTCACTGTGCGTCATCAGGCACATGCACTTGTGTTCATTAACACCGTGATTACCCTGATTCCATAGCTTTTCTCAATTGTTTTCTCTTAGTGGAAACTCCTATTTCCTCTGTTATCTGCCTTCCTACATATTAAAGTTTCCTCATTCTTAAAAACTATACTTACATTAAGGTATAAAGACAATTTACATGCCTTATCTGTCACTCCACTTACTACCAGCACTTCCTAAACTTATTTGGTGACCTTTTTTCTTTTACTGCTCTTTGTGTTTCTTTTGAAACTGAGGGCTCAGGTGAAAAGGGCAATCTTCCCAGGTACAGATTAGTGACTCCCCTACCCCCACATAGTCTACAAGAAACTTTTATTTTTCTTCAAAATTTCTTCATTAATAAGTTTCCTGATTTTCTTTTCCTATTTCTATCTGATGTCTTCTCTCTTGGCATTCCAATATCACCTACTTACTTTTTTTTTCACTTATCATACTTTGTTTTTCACTTTATTCACTCATTCAATTAACACGTGTTAGGAGGGCTGGAAGTTGAGGATGGCATGAATCTGAGTTTGAAGTTGAGAAGTCATTTTTAAAATTTTCATCTCATTTACTCATTTCAAAAACATTTTTAAAGATCTATTATCATGCCCTTTTTAAGATGGGGAAACACAGTTGGGAGATATTAGGTTACCCGATCAAAGCCAGACAACTGGAAGATGGAGCTGAAACTTGAGATCAGGTCTTCTAACATCACCTCCTGTGTTCTTTCCACTATTGCATATTAACTTCTCTCAGGATTGGCAAATAAGAGGCCTTCCTGCTGAATCTGCCTCTTTCTTGTTTTGTTTGATAAACACAGTAGCTTCTGGTTTGAGAAATCACCTGGAGTCAGACCACAGGGATTGATGGAAGATTGAAAAGTTCAATTCCAATTAAGGCATTCCAATTCAGATTAAATAATCAAACCAGAAGCTACTGTGTTTACCAGTCTTACTGCAGGGACTTAAAAAAAAAAAAAAAGATTGAATTTTCCCTGTTTTCCCTGTTACCAAAAGGAAGAGACCTTTACCCCTCTCCCCTTTCATAGAGAATTTTCTTGAACAAATTTGTAATTATAAATCCTTCCTATGTCTCTTTTATATCTATATAAGTCTTTTTAAAAGCTAAACAAGCCTCTTACCAGGTACAACTCAGTAAAGTTTTTCTTAAGGTCCTGGGAGCCAACTCTTTGAAATCTAAACATCCAGGAAGATAGTGCCCCATATCCTCGCACCATAGAAGTTAGCCTAGGCTCGTTGCTCCAAGCTAAAAGTACCTTCTTGTCACAGAAATAGAAAAGTTTTCTTTTTCCCTTCGATAATGGCAATTAACGAACACAAATGGCTACCCCAAGCGTGACCTACCAAAGAAGGTATAGCAACCGGTGTGGTTACGTAGTACTCTTACATGAGAACATGCACGTAATGGATTGTATCTGCTTGTCTATAAAAAAGGGTGAGATTCTTTCTTTGCAATCGCATTAGCAATTGCCTGTGACACCCATCCCAGTCTGGTTCCGGGCTTACTGAATAATATAATTTTTTTTCTACATTCGGTAAGATTTTCTGAGATGGCAGGAGATCTTAGTTTTCATTTTTCCTTGACAATATCAATTCATTTATGTCTCTTACCTTCCCTATCCCTACCCAGGATAGAAATGCGCTCCCTACTCACCTCACAGTTTGTTTTGACCACCAGGTGGGATAACGCCGCAGAACGGCAGCCAGAACCACGACTCCCAGCATTCCTGGCGCTCGCCGCTCTCCTTGCTTCCTCTTCCGGTTCAGGGGCTACTGAAACCGAAAGTGCGATGCTGTGGCCGCCGCCGGGGTGATTTTCACCTTCGCCTGCGCGAGCCCTCGGTGACCCAGGTTGGGAAGCCAGACAAGAGTAAAATATGAACGGAAGAGTGGATTGCTTGGTTACTGAGGAGGAGATCAATCTCACTAGAGGACCCTCAGGTATGTGCAGAAATGATCATCGCTGGGAGTAGGGTACTTGAGGCTGTAATTGCAGAGCGGACACCTCTTCTGCAGAGCCAGATTCTTTTGGCCTTGGAGAAGGCAGGCCCCAACCGAGATATTTCCTGCAACGCTTGTGAGCACATAGAAGGCTATATTGGCATCCAGCGTTAGCCTGAGACGGATCTGAGGGGTCCACCTCATTTTGCAGTCGGGTTACCACATATATTTATAGTCAGGAAGTTTCTTTCTGCTAACGGTACTAGAAAATCCTGGGGGAAAGCCTGCTTTTTAGCCAGCACCCATGAACACCACACCCTTCCTTCCGTTTGCCTGCTCTATCCCTGTTTCTATGAGAGACAGTTTAGTAAAAATGGGAGCATAAACGGTGTGTACTGTAAATGCATAGCCGTTTTCTTGGTGCTAGTATCCCTCCCTCCCTCCTTTCGTTTCTGGGAAATTCATTTAGACGGTCAACTGGAATGTTAAACCAGAAAGAGACCTTAGAGATCTGCTACAGATGTTCCCAAAGCTGGTTTCGCCTCAAAATTATCCAAGGTTTTTTGGTTTTTCTTTTTTTTTTTAAAAAAAAAGGTTAATTCCTAGGACCCACCTCTGTGAATTTGGATTCAATACAGATGTTTCTTTGGTCCTTTTCATCCCTTCCTTCCTTCCCACAAGCCCGTCATGTGATTCCGATACTACCAAATCCTCACTTTCACCTACAGTGCTTTTATCTCCTGATGCATTTCACTCCACTAGGCTCTTAATAGTACTACATGCTGCCCACTTTGGCTTTTGTTGCCTTTCCTTTACAGCTGTCTAGTGTATCAATTAAGAGCTTTAGCTTTGGGCTTATGTAGGTCCAAAAATGGTATCTAACCTCTTACTAGTTCTTTGATATTTATTAACTAACTTTACTGATGTAAGACTTAATTTCTCATATGTAAAATGTGCATGATAATAGAGTACGCTTTCTCTGGTTATGAGAATGAAATCAGTTAATCTATGTAAAATATTTAGAACATTGTGTGCTAAGCACTGTGTGTTCACTACTATTGTTGTTTTTATTGTTAGTAGATAAATGGTTAGGTTAACACAGTAAATACTGCTAAATACTGTTATTTCAAGAGTCTCCAACAACTCATCAAGTACCATGAACTCTATCGGAAATAATTTTTTAAGTCTTTCACTCCTTTCTGTTTCCATCGTCACTACTTAGACCAGTCCATCTTTTCCCATCTGGAATTTTGCAGTAGCTTGACCACCACTCATAGATTATTTTTCATAAAATATGGCTTTCTTTTTTTTTTTTTTAACGCGGGCCTCTCACTGTTGTGGCCTCTCGCGTTGCGGAGCACAGGCTCCGGACGCGCAGCCTCAGCGGCCATGGGTCACGGGCCCAGCCGCTCCGCGGCATGTGGGATCTTACCAGACCGGGGCACAAACCCGTGTCCCCTGCATCGGCAGGCGGACTCTCAACCACTGCGCCACCAGGGAAGCCCAAATATGGCTTTCTGAATCACCCATGCTTTGTCTTCTTTCTTGTTATAAAAAAATTGGAAATCAGCTTTACTTACGAGAGTGTAATTTATTACTAATCTGCATGGTTTAATGTCATGCTTCATACGATCTCCTAAACTTTTGTCAAAGGCTCATTCAGTGTGCCCAAGTCTCTTAGGTACATTTTTCTTATTTTATGTAAATTTCTCCTTCTCTCCCTGTTAATGGTTATTGACTTTTGAGGCTAACATGGAAAATTATTGTTAAACCAAAATCTGTTTTTCTGTACTTTTCATCCATTGGTACTTGTTCTTCTCCTAGGGCCAACTGAAACAATGGTAGTTCATTTTCTGATTGCCCTGCAAGTATTTAAAGGCATCTGGTTGTTCTCCTGTTTTGTCTCTTCTACAGCCTAAATATCCCTAGTTGTTACATTAGGTCTCTTGTGATGTGATTTGAAGTTTGATTCTTGTCTCTTGCTTAAGAATTTAACGTATTTTGACATGGTCCTTTTGCTGCAGTATCCACAGTATTTTCAGGATCTCCTGACTGGAGCAGAGCAGAACTCTGATATTCTCTTGCATATTCCAGTCACTAAATATTTTAAAAGTTTAGTGTAATATCACTTCACCTTTTTTGGTATTTACATAACAGTGTTGATTAATGTTCAGCTCACTATTCACTGAAATTTCTGATCCTATTGATCTTGCAGACCTGAAGTTCCTAGTGTTACCATTTTTCTGCATTATTAGAATTAGGACAAACGTCAAAGGACTGATTAAGAATACTTGTATATGCTAATGTGTCTCACCTCAGAGTTGTTTCATTTCTGTTTTGTATGTGCATTTATTCAAAAATGAATGAATTTATTCACCTAGTGACTTTTAATTTTTTCTAAGCATTTTCATGTTTTACTCATATAAGTTGATAAACTTAAAAGTTTAGATGAGTAGAGCCACAAACTTGGATAAAAACAGTCATTTGAAGTTTGATTGGTTCATTTAACAAGGTTCCAAGTTTCTGTTTATCACCTCCCAAAGCTAGTTACCTGGTATTGTTAGACCTGCGCGGTCTCCTAGGAGTTTCGACTCGCCCAGGAAACAACAAGAGTCGGAAGTCGATGCAAAACGCAAGAGGTTTATTGAAGGCCGGTGCACCGGGGTTCCTTGGTCCTCACGCAGGAGGTCGAAGAAGGAACCCTTTTGGGCGCGAATATGTCAGTTTCATAGGTTCCCACTTCCCCGTATGTAAATTATAGATTTGGTTGTGTTCTCCTGCTGATTGGTCCCGGCTTAGGCTCGGACCAGAGAGGGAACTTGTCCCCAGCTGCCTGATTGGTCTTTGACAGACACCTCTTTTACATTTTGTTATCTCCCTCCTTCTCCCCAGCTGCCTGATTGGTCTTTGACAGACACCTTTTTTACATTTTGTTATCTCCCTCCTTCTCGGAAGGGGGCTGGACATCCTGGAAATTCACCCATTGTCTAAGAAGCCCCTACTGTCTGGAGAGTTCTTAATCATTAGCTGGAACAATGTCCCTCGAGTCCCACAGTATGTGGTATTCCTAAGAAGTCTCACAGTCTAACTCGGCTTTTCCTCACTGTGCCATCATGAAGATGCATAGGGAAGAAGTCAGTTATCACCACTAGAAGCTTCCAGTAATTTTGGTAGTCCCATAGTGTTCTTTCTTTCTACAGAAGAAATATGAAAAGCCTATAGTTCCAAGTATGCACCTCTGTTTGTAGTCAGCATTGTCACTCTTTGTTTCAGTACAGCGTCCTTTGTAGGGACCTGATAGTTTAATCAGGTAACTGCAAGGATGTACATACTTTTGCCTTTTTGTGTCAGTGTTCTGTCAGGGGCAAGAGTCTTGGGTAATTCCAGTGTTTAGGCCCATTTTGCAAGGCAAATGAACCTATTCTGTCTGATCTTGCTTACTGCAAGGGAAATAAAATCTTGGGGAAGTTATGACTATGAAGTGAGTATCTGGTGAGGCAAAAGAAAGCTTGGTACATAGCTTGACATCTATCCTATGCCTACTTCTTCAGCCATGTAAGGAGAGGCTTAGGCTGGACGACTTTGTAAGTTTCTTCCACTTCCAAGAGTTCATGATTCTTTGGCCATGTGTTGTTTTATGGTTCCTGCCATTTTGAACCAGCAGTAGGTGGTCTGAAGAATCAATCACAATCTCAAATGAAATGCCCTCAAGGGTTTGAAGAGTTCACTTTTTATCCTTTATGGAACACTCTTCTTTCTATGGGCATCCAGCTTGATTATAGTCTCGAAGCCTCCCACTTTTATCAAATTGAGAGTTTTTAATGTTGGAAAGACTCAGTTACTCTAAGAAGTATGACAAGAATCTAATTTAGCTTTTTTTCACTGTAACAGGTACATATTGGCCATAAAGACAACCCTACTTCATGTTGGATATTAGGATTCCTTGTTCAGGACTGAGTTATCAGTGAGTTTCGGCAAGTTGCTCCCGATTACCACCTTTCAAGAGGGAACAGAATCTCTATTTTTCTACTTTCTTTAAAGGAGTTGCAGAGGGTAATGGGTTGGTACAATGTTTTAATAATGAATAATTAAGGAAGTATTCTCTTTCTGGCAGTGTGCTAGTTACTTTTTATATATATATAAATTTTTTTTCTTCACAACCACCGTGAATGGTGATTAATCCACATTATTAATTGAGGAAATTGTCTCTCAGAGAGGTTAAGGATTTGCCCAAGTTCTAAAGCCAGTAAGTTTCAAAAGCCAGGAATTTAACCCAGATCTGTTGATTATAGTGTTCCATATACTACCTCCCACTATAGTAGCTATGCCTAAGGAGTTGGCTCCCAGCCTTTCTCCTGACCTTTATTTTGTTATATCATGCCTTATTTCCAGAATGATTTGAGGCATCCTATGACTAACACAATCCGCAGTGGAAAGTTTTTATAGTTTTCTATTGACAGAGCTGACAGCGTATCAAGGTGAGAACCTAAAAACAAAAACCTCATAAAGTCCAAGCATCTAAGCCTCTACAGACCTGCCGTGTGCTTTGTGTTTAACCCCGAGACTGGTGCCAACAGTTTTCTGACCCTTCATATGCCAAATAGAGCTGAGAATAAAGTGCTGTATCCTTGCCCTATTTTCTTTTTTTATTTTTTGGTTTTTTTTTTTTTTTTTTGCGGTACACGGGCCTCTCAGTGCTGTGGCATCTCCCGTTGAGGAGCACAGGCTCCAGACGCAGGCTCAGTGGCCATGGCTCACGGGCCCAGCCGCTCTGTGGCATGTGGGATCTTCCCGGACCGGGGCACGAACCCGTGTCCCCTGCATTGGCAGGCGGACTCTCAACCACTGTGCCACCAGGGAAGCCCCCTATTTTCTCTTTTGATTATGTGACGTCTAGCCCTCATTGAATTTATGTTCCGATGGAGATATGACATTCACATGTAAAAAGTTAAATCTCAGTGCAGAGGTGCAGATGGTTAAGGACTGTGATGAGCATGAAT